TCGGAACCTGCCCCCGCCCGGAGCCCGGGACCTGGAGGCCTTGGGGTTCCCTTTCGCAGCGCGGGTTCGATGTCATGGGGAGGGGAGAGCAGGCGTGAAATGGAAGGAAACGAGGCGGAGAGAGATTAACGTCGCCGCCGCCGCCGCCCCCCGTGCGGGGCGCGATTATCCGGGGTCCGGAGCCGGGTCCGTGGCGGAACCCATCCCCCACGCCTCCGCTTTGAGACACCAGTAAAAAGCAAACAAACAACAAACCAAGCAAAAGCCGAGGCGAGACGCGAGCCTGCGTTTTGCAGTAAATCTGGAAAAGGCGCTGGTGAGCTCGGATGGTATCCCAAAATATCGAGCTGCGGGGAAGGCTGCGGGGCGTGTGCCCGGGTGTGTTTTAATGCGGTTCTCAACCGGTGGGTCGCGACCCCTTTGGCGGTCTAACGAGCTTTTCACAGGGGTCGCCTAAGACCATCCTGCATATCAGATATTTACATTACGATTCATAACAGTAGCAACATTACAGTTATGAAGTAGCAGCGAAAATAATTTTATGGTTGGGTCACAACATGAGGAACTGTATTTAAAGGGCCAGAAGGTTGAGAACCACTGCTCGGCAATGACGTTTCCCGAGGTGGAATAGCGTAGCCGGGAGGGCATGTACGGGGTGACTGGGCTATTATCTAGGGTGTGATTTGTGAGTTGAGGCCCCGGGGGAAAGCTGTTTGTCTCAGGCACCCTTCTCCGTGGCCGGGTTTCTCCCAGAAATCCGGGGAGGCGAGGGGTTTAGAGGGATTTAACTCGTCGCCACCGGGAATCCAGCCGGGTGGTCACTGGTGGTGATCGGGACAGCAAGTAACTGCTTGCGTTTGGTCGTGTTTCGAATGCTTTCCGTATAATTTGCGTAAAATGTCGGTCGTGCTTCGACGAAATGAACTGTTCTGTCTGTATTTTCGAAATAAAGGAAAACCAAGACGATTAATTACATTCGAAGTGACCCTGGTGTGGCCAGTTACTGACTTCTGTTTTGCTGTCATCTGCCCGGTGTTGTAATTTCCTCCTTCCTGCAGCCGCACTCCTGAAATGACTGGTTGAGAATTTAGCTGCTTGGTTTCATAAACACGCCCAAATTGTGGCAAAGCAGTCTGGTCCTTCGATCCCTCACAGCCTGGGGTCTGGCACATGCTTTTTTGTATGACCTTGGGCAAGGCTCTGGGTTCCTCTCCGCGAATAAAATACCAATGGCAGGCGTCACTTAACTGTCACCAAGATGTTTGCAAATCACCTGTACACCCGCC